AGCAGGAGCTGCAGCCAGCATGGAGTTGACATAAAGTAATGGTTAGAAATGGCATGTCTAGGGAATTGAGCAGCAAAAAGGGACAGATTGCTCATGAGACAAGAGCAAGAGGCCCAGATCTGAAGGGTTTGTGGAGGAGAAGTGATGCTGACTATGCTCAATGACCCATCTGTCTGTCTATCTGTACACGGAAATTTAATTTTGCCTTCACTGGACTCCATTGATCTCCTCGGTTGTGACTGATTTCAAGGCTGTGAAGCCTATGGCTGGGCTTGTGCTTCTTCCTGAAAGTGGACCTGATGTAATTTTCTCCCCGTTGTCTCTGCTGGAGAGTCCCCTGGTTGTCAGGAGTACTGGGACTGTCACTGCTGATGACCCTGATTAAAAATGTCACCAGCTCCAGAGTCAAGACTCGCACCGTGTCTGAAAATAATACGGCTTGTCAGGCGGGAGCAAAGTTTTCCGCCACCTGATGGCTGAACACTCTCGACTAAACTGAATTTGAGAATTTCCAACTTTTAAACCCCTTTGTTATGAAGTGGGTGAAATGAAGCCTGACTAAATTGTTTTTTCCCTTCTGGGAGTGACCCTCCAGGCAGGTAGAAGCTATATTAGCTGTGAGGACTGAGCCCAGGTGCTGAGCCGTTCTTAGCACCGTGGAAAATCAGAGAGCTTCCTTTTCCAAAGCTGCCAATCTAGGACATGTCATGAGCCTTGAAATCCTAATAAAAGTTTCAGAGATACATAAAGAAGTGACATTTAAATGCTGTGGTGACCGATGCTCTCTATATAGCTGCAAGTGTTTATGGAGAGGGAGGTATTTAGAGACGACAGGGCAAACAGACCAAAGGCCTTTCTCACCTTCTCCACTTGCAGTATTACGGCAAGGACGTCAGAGCAGTGCCGGCACGAGCTCTGCGGCAACTCAGCCACTTGTCCCTGACTCCAGGTCACCCTCAGAGGCTGTTTCCTTGGTTTCTCTCAGGTAGCCTGTCTCAACGGATACTCAGCTTTTGGCAAAACAGTGCCTCAGCAGCTGGGCTGCAGTGGGACACTTGGCAACTAGGGCACAGGGTCTTGAATCACCCTTGTAAGGGGTAAGGATAAGGAGGGATGGAGCAGTGCATAAAGCCATGGCTATGCCCTAGCAACGTGAGCTAAAAAAAACCCACTTCCAGTGTCAGACCCTCCATCATTTTTGCTTACAACAGAATTGCAAATAAAATGCAAGTCCTTACCTCTTCAACAAGCTGCAGCATTCGGCGGGTGCTCTCAAGGGACTGAAAAAAACAGAAGAAGAAACACTTTTATTTGGCAAGATACACTTTTTTTCCAACACTTATGTGCAGGCTCACACCGACCGTATGTTTTTCCTACGCTGTTTGCCTTCCCTCAAAATCATGCAGGGTACTGGTGGTCTCCTCATCTTCAGCCCTGCAGGATGGCTCGCTAACGCAGCAGTTCCCACCGCAGCTCGAGGCATCTGCAGTCTCTGAGGCTTGCACTCCCCTTGCTCACATGTTGCGGCGGTAGTGCTTGGAACAGCTGGTGTTCCACTTTAAAAATAAAGTCTGTGGTTTTCAGCTACGACTTTTCAGAGACCTAATTGGTGACTTTCAACATTTAATAGGTTTGGCAAATTGAAGGAATCCTCAGAAAATATTAAATTGCTGCTTTTTGCTCTGAGGCCAGTCAAATAGATGCAGCATCTACTACCTAAACCAAACTCACAATCAAGAAATGCCTTAATCTAGACTAAACATGACATCAAATTTTACCCTGTTTCATTTCATTTCCAATTCTGCTTTCAGTGTGAAGCTGATGGAAAACAGAATCAGCTCTAGAAATCCTTTGCCGGATCAGCTCCTATTTCTGGGTATGTGTCTCACGCTAAACCCAACCCCAAGTTTCCTATTTAGCTATCGGTCTCACTTCATCAGCAAGCTGGTCGGCACGCCGCTGCATTTCTTCCAACTCATTGCGCATATCAGCGTCTTCCGCCATTTTAGCTGTGGGTGTGTTTGTGGAAGCTGCAGATCAAGGATTTGCGCTTAGCTGCTTGTGAGCCTGGAAGACAGGGAAAAGGAAAAGAAACAGTGTGGTTAGTCGCCCTGACTCACTGAATGAGGCTTAAATGTCAGTCCCACAAAACTGCTTTTATTACTTGAGTGCCCTCACCCAAACTCTTTCGTTCTGGGTAGCAGTTCCTCCAGAGTAGAAAGCATGCAGGATTGCTCAGGGTGGTGCTTTATTCCTGTATTATTAATCACTCTCAAAGAACAAAGATGTATCCTTGGACTGTTATTTGAGGGAAATCCTTCTTTTTTTCTTAACCTTTCAAATGCTGCTCATATCGAAGCTGGAGACTCAGGAGGTGTTATTTGCTACCAGAAACAGTCCTGAGACCCATTCATTCTTCTCTAGAATTAAGAGCCTTAATGTAGAGGAGGTCAAGGTCAATCCTATGCCCCTCATGTCCTATGTTTCAACTGCATCGCTTGGAGGGCTGGACGCTTAGCTAATAAATTTGCAATGAAATTAAAGACAATGAAACTTTGCAGATTTTTATCTGCTAATATCTTGCCCACTATGCTATAGTTCAGACTCTGCAGTAATATTTACAGCTAGACTGGGAGAAGTTGTCTACCTGGGAGAATCCATTTCAGAGGAAGTGATGGCAGGACCTAAGTGGTATTTTCAACTTCTCCCCAAAGTGGGTCAGATTCTGATCTTGGTTATCCCTCTCAATATAGAACAATGCCACTGAGCTCATCCTAACCAGAGATCAGGATGCAACCCATTAATCCTCATTTGGGTAGGGTTTCTTTTTTTGTTATAAATTCAAGCTAGCTCTGATTACTGAGCATGACTTGATTAAGAAAGGCGGGTCCTCCTACCATCTGTCAGGTCTTTGTAACAACAACACTGGCTTATTTCTTTGCTTGATTCAAGTATGGCACATTGCAAATTACTGCTCACTGAATGTTAGATTTGTTCATTGCAGGAAAACCTAATCCCAGGTGCAGAGGAGGTGGGGAAGTTGTGGGGGACTGCAAATAAACAGCCATAAAGCACATGCCATTGTGCTCCATTACAGAAAGAGGACAAAAGCAGTCCCTGTCAGCAAAGCTGCTCTAAGGCGGCAAAATCCCAGGGGCTATTTTCTGTCCTGTCTTTGCGATACATACAGCCTTTATGAAGCAGGATAAGTCAGGGCAGAGCTCGGCTCTAAAATTTTAACAATAATAACTCTGTTTAAATGGAAGTTATTATCTATCAGAGATGAATCCGTTCCTCACTTTGACAGTGCTCTCCACCAGGACATCAGGAGTATGGGCTGAACCGGTACAGCTGGGTGGCAGGGACATTTCCTGGATCACACCCTGTTTGCTTAGAAATGTATAAGGAAAGCAGACGACTCCTTGCATTTCCTCTGCAGCTTCAGCAACAGATTTGCTGTTTTTCTTATCTAAGAGGGAATATGTGACCTTCATGCTTTCCCATTAGCTGTGCCCTCACTCATGGTTGCTTTTCCTCTTTGAAGCTACAGCAGGAAGAAATCCATCTGAAAGAGTCAGCCCTGCAGCTACTAGCACGGCATCCTACTTTCATCATTGAGGACATCGCCACATCCATGTCAGAGGGAGCCTGACATCTTGTGATGGGTCACACAATGTTTAGAAGCCAAAATGTATGCTGAAGAAGCCCACCCGGTTCTGCCAGCTGCATGGTCACAGCGGTGCAAAGGACCAAGCTTAAGCAACTCATCTGCAGCCCCAGCTGATGCAAACGCAGAGCTTAATTTCATGGCTGATATTCAGACTAATATCAGACACTTCAAGGATGCTCACAAACAGCAGTAAATAAGCTTTACAAAGAATGGCGCGCTCTGAGGTTTGGGAGGAAGAGATGAACGAGGAATTGGTCTCCTCCTGAAGGGCATGTGAAAGTGTGGGGATACTCTCAAGGCCACCCCAACCTTCCCATCCTGCTGCTGCACTTGTGTTGCCCTTTGTGGCACATGACGCAGCTCCAGGAAGACACTGCTCCTGATCAGTAAAATGGAGCATGCGCAGCTGGGATAAAAGCAAGTTATTTCAGTAAAGAAATGCTCTCCGAACTCTTGTCCCACTTGGCACAGGCTGTCACCAGCGCTGGTCACTGCTTCACAAATGTGATTTTTCCCAGATCAAGGCAAAACTCAGCATTTAAATATTTCTGGCACAGCCTTTGTGACAGAATACCAGGATTAAGTCTGTGGACCTAGTTGTAGAGTATCTAATTAAAATATTCTCCTCTGCCTGGATCCCTTACTACATTTGTGCTGGCAGAATAGCAGCACTGAGCTTTAGCAAAAATCAGCGTGCCTTTGGGACTGGACTAATTGGTATATACATACAGCTGCGAGGGGCAGGAAACTGGTTCTGTGTTGTGTCTATCTGGTAGCATCTTACTGGCTGTGAAGTGGGAGGTGATGCACCAGTGAGAGAATGGGATGCTATCAGGGGATTTGGTTCAGTCTCTAAGCACGTCCAATGTGAGCTGAATGATTACAGACCTGTAAGCGAGTGAAGGTGAGACGAGTGCTTCTACTGACAATAACAAATAATAACAGTCTGCTTGTCAGTCACTGCAGATAAGAAAAATTGCACAGAAAATTCGGTTCTCAAGTAGACACCAGCCTGACTTTTGATCTTTTCCTTAATAATTTTTGATTGTGAGCCAGCGGTGGTGTTGGGTGGTGCAAAAAAAGAAACAAAGTGGAGAAACTGCGATGTTTCGTTAAGAGTTATCCTTCTCGGTTAGTTAGAACCATCAGTTGGCATCTTAGTGACAGACGCATTCTATTTTGCATCAAGCTAAAAAAAAAGTCAGAGGTTGTAACCAGAGAGATATTTTGTAGCAAGTGATCAAACTTGACAGGTTTATTGAGATTGTTTGGTATTTATAAAGCACTTAGAATGGATTGAGGAATAGCAAAAAGCATTCTTCCAGACAAGTCGTTTTACATCAAGTTTTAGTCATAAACAAAAGTGCCCCGCAGCAGTGCTGATTCAACTTTATTTAATAGAAAACGGTGCACAAGAATCAATAAAGGTTACTGATTTGCACACAGTATGATAAACTACACATATTTTGCAGATGGCTGGGAATGGGTTTAAATTTTTTGCAGATTTTACAGTTTAAAATGTGGAATAGGACACATTACAGATAGGATTTTCCTTGAAAAGCCCCGTTTAGGCTGAAATTCCATTCCAGTGTCATGAATTTCCAACAACAAACCCTGTTATCAATAAAATCCTGTAGAGAGCAGATTTATGTTTTAAAGCGAATTACTTCTCTACAGTACAAATTAACAGTTTTCCCTCTATGGTGTTTTTTAGGAACACCTATATATAGTCCTCTTGATGTATTAAAACATTGAAATAGAGTGATTACAGGAATGACCAAGAGAGGATAAACCATAATGGACTACTTCTCACCGATTAGTGGGCAGACTTTCAAAAGCATAAGGTATTAGTCCGTCTTGGGCCCACTGAAACCTGCTCTTGTTTTAGTAGAACAGGAACAGGCCAAAGAAGACTATTGAAGACTTTGGGTAGTAATAAGTTCCTTGTACAACTTACATTTTTGAGAATAGCTGATATTTTACATTCTGTTCTCATTCAAGCTAATTTGAACCAAGTATCAAAATCCTGTAATTGCCTTAGGAACCTCTAATATAACTGGAAATAAACTCTCCGAAATGTACTCTGTACTTTCAACATAAGCTACATTTTATTTTGTCTACAGTTACGGCAGAGATGACCGATCAGAAAATGAAAGTTGTAATGTAATATATTAAGCTCTTTAGATCTAAAACTTTGTTTAAAAAAAAGAAGTTGCTACAGAATTTACAGCTACTTGCACACACACAGTCAATTTGTGTTTATACTTGCAATAATTGTATATACAAATGCAAGCTCAAAATTTCACAAAGACCTTGTTTTTTCCATTTCAGAAAAGGGAAAGGAAATCCTCTGGGTTCACACACAAACATACATGGTGCTCTCTTAAAAGGAGACAAAAGTCCAAACGTAACTACAAAAAACTGTGTATGTCATGTACCAAGCTGTGCTCTGTGTCTTCTAAACAACGCAAGTAACTGCAGGGTGACCTACATCAAATTCCCTGTGAGCCAGTCCTATACGTCACACCAGTGCTCGTACAGAAGCACAACAGACTAAAGGTTAAAGAAAAATACAAAGAGAGGCTGGCTAATGGAAACACTTTGCCTATTATACTTTGAATTCTGCATCTGCTATTTTAGTAGTGCTCAGATGCAATAAAGAATCTCATAGCAAGAACTTTATATATCCTTGTAGAGTTATACTGAAGTCTAAGAGGGACCTACATATATCCCCAGAGGAAGGGAGATACAATGAGTGACCTTTGAAAGCAAATATTTGCTTCACAGTGATATAAACACTTCAATGCAATAAATACAGGAAAATGAAAATGCCGCAATTTACTATGATGAAGGCAACACTGCAATAAAATGTTCTTTTTTAAGCACTCTCCCTGTTATTAAAGGACACGTCTATTCTTCCCGTGGATATTTGTAGCCAGAGCCAGTTGCATTAGTGTATTCTACTAAAAAAGTCACGAGTCGGTCAATACCACACTTTATGCTTCTTTCTTGTAGGATTGAAAGAGCGTTACCGCAGTGGTGCGGCAGTAGCGGAGCTGCAGAAAAACCAAGAGAGGCTTTGGGTCAAGCATCTCAGGATGGATGATGAGCCCTTTAAAGCTGGTGGTTGGGTTGCAGCTATCTTCCTTTCGTTTTTCATCTGGTTTTTGGTAGAAGGAGAAACACATGCTGTCAAAGGGGGAGATGAAGTTGAGCTACAGATGAAGGGGGTCATCCTTGCTCCCCAGTGTCACCTTGCAGCCATTCAGTTGGCTCCCCAAGTGCTGTGCAAAGCATTTTCAGCCACAACAGGGCCAGGCGCAAGGCCGTTCTGGGGCTGTATAGGATCCTCCTGTCAATGTACCCATCCTTTTCCCTGCTGCACCTCTCCAACAGTTATC